GACGTTGTCGTCAGCAAGGCCGGGCGCAGGCGTCGCGCGCGACGCTGTCGCGGGGGCGCCGGCACATTCCAGACACGCGTTCACGCACTGGTCCGCAACAGCCGACATATCGCAACGACGATGCGCCCCCCGCGTTCGGCGCGGGGGGGGCCCAGTAAATGGCCCCGCGCGACGGGTACCCAGGCGGGTCGCCCCATCCACAGCTTCACCCCACGAAGATTCGCATTCGCCCGCAGGATCTATCACCACCTTGCGATCTACACATACTGCCACACCCTGTTCCGAAACCTTGAGTCCCTGGAAGCCACATCCGGGGGAGCGCACGAAGGGCTCGGGCGAATCGAGACGGATGCCGGCCTGAGCGGCGCTGTCCAGAAATCGCTCGAGCTTCCGTGCTTTGCCTGCCCCCCCGGCGATAGGCGGATAAGGCCGGCGTCTCGGTCGCCCCGCCACAGCCGCCGACCTTGTGGAGCCTGGCCACATTGCACTTCTTCGCGCACGCGATGACATAGCCGCTGACCTCCCCAGTGTTCTTGTTCTCGAAGGTTTCTTGTTCCCCCCCTCAAAGATCTGGACGGTCGCCCACCTGCCCTCCCCAGCACAGTCGCGTCCGCGATCTGCCTGGGAAACTGGTCGCGGGGGGCGCCGCCGCCCTGGCCGGCGGTGCGACGCCATCCGTGCCCCCATCTTCCACGGCGGCCTCCGAAGTCGCTGCGCTGCCCGGCTGGCCCTCGTTGTTCCGGGGCGCCGTCGCCAACCCGCCAGCAGAAGCCTCGGGGGCCGCGCAAGACTCGGCCGCCACGCCCACCGCTTTCTGCACCGAGAAGCTCACCCCCAGCACCAGCCAGATCGCCAGATTTGGGATGGCCGCCGACCAGCGCCACGCAGGACTTCCCTGAGCGCAGCACCTGCGCAAACAGCTGCTAGAGCTTGGTCATGACTGCGCGGCGCGTCTTCGCGTGGGCGCCCGCTCCGTCGGGCGCAGTCGCGGTCGCTCCTCGATGCGCCCATCACCAAGAGGATCGTCGCCCGCTCCGAGTGATCTGTCCAGAATCCCACGACATCCTCGGAGAGGGGGACCTCGACCTCCCCCCTGCGCACGCCGCTGGCCTCAGCATCCCCCGGAGGACTTCCTGGCCCGCTGCCTATGTTCCGGCGTGCCAGGCGGGCCTGCGGAATACCGCAAGCCCCGCGTCGTTGCACCTCGGCTGGAAGCGACCCCTCTCGACATGCCCGATCTTCTTCCACAGGTCGAAGCCCGTCTGGATCCACGCTGGCTCCAGCATGTACTACTCTCGGAGTGATCTCGGGATACCACGAGCGGCAGCTCTGGCATCTTGCGCCATGCCCCGTCTGTCTCTGCGCGCCCCAGCGTGGCCGTCAGCCCTCCGTCCACGAATGCGAGGCGCTGGGCGGGAGCCAGCTGCGGTCGTCGCAGCGCAGCACCACCTACACCCCGACGAAGCGAAGCCGCGCCACCCCGCGCAGGCACGGCGCGAGGCCGTCGTTCAGGGCCAACCGTTCCAAGGCCCCGATGAACGCGCTGGGAAAATGTTTACGACGACCTGCTGCGCCCTTAGCCGAGCGGAGAGCCCGCCGCTCGAATCGACACCCGCGACACGCTCCGTCGAGACCAAGGCTCACAAGGTCTGGTTGGGAACCGTCGGTCCACACGGCTACGCCGCCCTGGCGCGCACGGAGTCGATGAAACGCACGATCGTCACAGGCCACGGGGCCCAGCGCGCGCGCAAGAGCCACCCACGCATGTTTTTCATCTCGCACGTACGACCTCAATAAATGTTGATGCGCGCGCGGCCCGCGATGCCGTTTTTCGCCAGCTCCGGGCCCACGCAGGCCTGCGCCCCATCGAAAGAAGGTGCCCCCATCTCCTCGAACAGCGCGATCAGGCGAAGCTTCCACCGAGCCCGCTCCTGCAGTTCCAACCCGCGTCGGCTCTCCGCCGCGGTCGCGCGGAACCGCCGCGCGAAGCGGGTCACCGCCATCGCACGGGCCCCCAACGGCGGCGGGGTCTTGGCCGCACCTCGGTCGTCCGCCAGTCGGAGGCACGTTGCGGCGTCCTCCAGCATGGCCCGCTCGGGGCAAACGCTGCACCTCCTCAGGCGTTTCCGAACGGGCTCGTCAGCAACGGCCCGGTCCACGAGTTCCCTCAGCGGCGGCCGCGCGTCCTCCACGCAGGCGCCCGCGGCCTCCGCCACCTGCGCAGCGCCCAGGAAGCCTGAGGACAATGCCGCATGTCCCAATTAGATGCGATGGGCGATGCTATGTGCACGAGAATGCACGCAACCACGGCCATGCCGTGTCCGCCGACTGTGGGCAGGGAAGCCATGCAACAACAGGAAAATGTCTGAAGCCATGACGCGTCCCCGCTGCTGGCGCTCACGGTGCAAACCTGTAGAAAATCATCCATACATTCCGTGGAAAGCATGTCTCGAGCACCAGGCGCACCCCCCGCCCGTCCGTCACAGAGAAGAATGACGGACCGAGGAAACATCAAAGGGGGAGAAGGGAAGGAGAAAGGAGGGGAGGAGGGGAGGAGGAAGAGGAGGAAGGAGCAGGAGGAGGAGAAGGAAGAGGAAGAGGAGGGGAAGGAGGAGAAAGAGGAGGAGGTCGATGAAGAGGACCATGACGAAGAAGGGTAGGAGGTGGACGAACAAGAGTAGAAGGAAGAGGAAAAGAGGAAGGAGGAGGAGGAGGAGGAGGAGGAGGAGGAGTAGAAGGCCGAGAGGAAGGACGAGGCCGAAGAGGAGAAGAAGGAGGAATAGGAACACGAGGGGGGATGTGCGGAGGAGGTCGAGGAGGTGAGTGGACGAAGAGTAGCGGGAGGAAAGGGAGGGAGAGGAGGGGAGGGGAGCATGTGACGACGAGGCCGCCTCACCCCTTCTTCCCCTATGCCCGCCCCACACACACACCAGAAAACAAGTTCTCCTCCTCCCCCTTCCCTCCCGCCTCCTTTTCGTCCCCTCCCTCCTGCTCCTCCTACTGTCCCTCCTCCTCCTCCTCCTCCTCATCCTCCTCCTCCTCCTCCTCCTCCTCCTCCTCCTCCTCCTCCTCCCCCTCCTCCTCCTCATCCGTATCCGCATCCTCATCCAAAACCTCATCCTCCTGATCATCATCCTCATCCTCATCATCCCCATCCTCACCTCATCATCATCATCATCATCATCATCATCATCATCATCATCATCATCATCATCATCATCAGCAGCAGCAGCAGCAGCAGCAGCATCATCAGCATCCTCATCATCATCATCATCATCATCATAATCAGCAGCAACATCAGCATCATCATCAGCATCATCAGCATCGTCATCCTCATCATCACCATCATCATCAGCAGCATCATCAGCAGCAGCATCATCAGCATCATCATCAGCAGCATCATCATCATCATCAGCATCAGCATCAGCAGCAATACCATCATCAGCAGCATCAGCATCGCCACCACCAACGCCGGGACTATCAGCATCATCAGCAGCAGCATCATTAGCATCATCAGCAACAGCAGCAGACGCAACAGCACCAGCAACATCATCATCAGCATCATCATCATCATCAGCATCATCATCATCAGCATCATCATCATCAGCAGCAGCAGCATCGGCATCATCACAATCAGCACCAGCATCATGGTCATCAGCATCATCATCATCATCATCATCATCATCACCAGCAGCAGCATCAGCATCAGCAGCATCATCAGCATAATCGTCGTCGTCATCGTCATCGTCATCGTCATCGTCATCAGCGCCAGCATCATCATCATCATCATCATCATCATCATCATCATCATCATCATCATCATCATCATCATCCGCATCGTCATAGCATCATCATTATCAGCAACATCGTCATCATCAGCAGCATCGGTATCATCATCGGCAGCATAAGCATCATCATCGTCAGCATCATCATCAGCAGCATCAACATCAGCATCCTCATCCTAATCATCATCATCAGCAGCATCATCATCAGCATCATCAGCATAATCAGCATCATCATCGACATCAGCATCATCATCAGCAGCATCATCATCCGCATCATCAGCATGGTCATCATCATCAGCAGCACCAGCATCAGCATCATCAGCATCATCATGATCATCAGCCTCATAATCATCCTCATCCTCATCCACATCATCACCCTCATCATCGTCATCATCATCAGCATCACCATAATCAGCATCCTCAGCATCATCATCGGCATCATCAGCATCGTCATCATCATCATCATCATCATCACCACCACCACCACTATCATCATCTTCATCAGCATCATCAGCATCATCATCACCACCACCAGCATCACCAGCATCATCATCATCATCATCTTCATCAGCATCAGCATCATCAGCATCATCAGCAGCATCCTTTTCCTGCGCTTCTATTTCGTCAACCCTCCTCCTCCCCCTTTTCGTCATCGTCCTCTTCCTCGGCCTCCTCCTCCCCCTCCTCCTCCTCCTCCTCCTCCTCCTCCTCCCCCTTCTCCTCCTCCTCCTCCTCCTCCTCGTCCTCCTCCTCCTCCTCCTCCTGTTCCTCCTCGTCTTCCTCCTCCTCCTCCTCCTCCTTCTCCTCCTCCTCCTCCTCCTCCTCCTCGTCCTCCTTTCCATCGTACCCTCAGGTCCCGCCAGTGCCACGGGCCCCACAAGTCTCGCAGGCCTCACCGGTCCAACAGTTTCCACAGGTCCCACAGGCCCCACAGGTTCCAGGGGTCCCAGAGGCGTCGCGGGCATCACAGGCCCCACAGGCCACAGAGGTCCCCCAAGTCGCACAGGTCCCACAAGTGCGACTTTTTCCGACTGCTCATAACACAATGGGGTCTTTTGTCGTGCTCAAGGTCGGCTATGACACGTGTCCGCGGACATGGACAAGAAACAACAGCCCAGTGGGAAGTGATGGGAGGGAGGGATAGGATGTCAGAGATGGCGCGAGCGCACCTAGTCCCCTCTCCCCCCTTTCCCTCCCCGCGGCCCTGGGATGAGCCTCCGTGATCTCCTGCTCGGTGAAGGCGCGGCCAAACTGCGTCATGCTGCCGACCTCGGCGCCGCCAAAGGACGGGGGGTGCTAGAGCAGGGGGGGGAGCAGGAGCCACCAACTCCTCCTGCTGCCCCTGGCGGCGCCCAAGGCTGCGGCGCAGAATTCGCCGCCGGCTTTTGACGCGTGCGAGCAGCGGCCACGGGAAAGGGGCATCGGGCGGAGGATGTCGGCGTCTCCAAGAGGACACACCTGGATTTGAGCCAGGGACCTGCTGATCTGCAGTCAGCGGAGGAGGGGGGGAGGAGGGACCTGCGTACACTCCACCTACGCCCCACGCAGGCATGCCCGAGCGGAACAAGATGGGCTCGCAGCAGCCCAGATGGTCGAGGACAACGCGACCACTGACCCCCCCCGCGAGGGCCTAGACCTAGTCCCGATGGTCTTCGAGACCGGGGGGCGGCCGTCCGACGAGGCAGTAAGCTTCGTTCGGAGCTACGGCGCCTCTCGCGATGACGCCGACCGTTTTGAGCTCCTGAGCCGGATCTGGCGGGACATTTCACGCACCCGTCAACAAGGGCACGCGGAGATAATCCTGAGCGCCCTGGGGCGGTAAGGGGCAGCTGGCTGCTTTCACGGCTCCCACCACCCGCAGTCCCAGCTCAACAACCGCCAGCAGCAGCACCACCACCAACACGACCATCACCTTTCCCCACCGCCCGCGACTCCCACCACGACCACCAGCACGACCACCACGACCACAACTTTCAGCCCCACCGACCCCTGACGCCGACCACACGACAACCACCGCCACTACCAGCGCCCAGCGCCCAGCAACTCGTCGACGACAGCACCACGACAACCACCATAAGTACCACAACGCCGGCAGCAACCACCATCACTCCGACTACTTCGACTACCACCACCACGCCGACTTCCACGATCACCAGGACGACAACGGAGGACCGTGGAGGAAGGGAAGGGGAAGGAAAAGGACGAGCAACAGCTGGAGCAGGATGAACAGGGATCAGAGTAGCCAGAGGAACAGAGAAAGCAGGAGGATGAAGGGGGGAGGAGGAGGTAGAAGAGGAGAGGAGGAGGAGGAGGAAAAGGAGGAATAGGAGGAGGGAGGAATAGGAAAAACTGGGTAGAGAAGCAACAGCAATGGCAAATGCAGGAGAGGAGCATAGAAATAAAGACATGTTCTTCCCATGCGGTGCGCGCGTGGGCCACAGGATTCTGCGTGACAGGCGAACGCTTGCTACTCCTGCTCTGCCAGTTCCAAAGATGCACATCTAAAGATCACGTCATCTTCTTCCCATACAGTGCGCGAGTGGGCCACGGGACGATTGTGTAAAAGGTGAAAGCGTGCTACAATCGAGATCGACTCGCACAGCAGAGCCTTAAAATGGGAAGTTAAATCGGCTGAGCGCTCACACGGACCCCCAACCAGGAAGCTTGCACAGACAGCCCTTGGCCGACTTATGCGGCCGACCGAATCAAAGCCCCACGAAGTGGCGTGCAGTGGCCAATACAGCGCCATGCAAAAAACGTGTCTCGATAGGAACTAGGTTCCTGGAAAACACGCCTCGAGGGGAACCGCTCGCTGGGATCCCGAGAGGCCTTCGGAGGACAAGGCAGCAACACTATACAGGCCCAGGAGGACTACTGGAGATAGGCCCGGAGCCTTGGAGAGTGCAGGGCCAAGAGAGCCTGAGTGGAACAAGTCACAATCGTCGGCACAGGTTCCGAAGGTAAGCCTCTGCGAGCTTTGTGTAGAAAATGCCCTGGGGATGCGCATCCAGAACAATGTTTGACAGTGGGCCCGAGGTCCACGTCGTCGGCACAAAAAAGCGGACATTTCCACCAAGGCACCCACGCCAGCCCACGAGACCCCCGTCGGAAGCCTAGTGGATGCTGGGCCGGCGAAAGAAACGCTCGCAACGCGAGTGTCAAACACCACCCTCAGGCTGCCGGCCTTCTCAGACACGAAGAACACCCCCACTGAGGGCTGCTCAGGCGAGCACGGAACACAAGCATCCCAGCACAGTACAACGACGAAGGAAGTCGGCGCAGCGGTCGGGGCAGCTCAGCAGCAAAGAATCGACGCAAGGCTTGGCTGCCCCTGTCTCATGGCGCCTGGCATCTGACACAGGCTCGGAGACTAGTTTCTCGCCCACCTTGGCACCAGTCGAGGAAAAGCGTCGGCGCTGCAAAGATCGCCCAACGGGGTCGGGCTCGCCCCAGCAGCAGGCCAAGACACGGGGTCCTTGACGTGGGGTCTTGACCTAAAACCATCATCACAACATCCTGGCGCGCGTCGGAAAAGCTCTTAGAGTGCGGCGTCCGAAGGTGCGCCGCTGACGGGCAAGTCCGCAGACCACATGTTTTATAGAAGTTATTTAAACAAAAACTGCTTGGAACAACGATGTGTTTCAAGGCCCGCTGCTGGGGCACGTTGGCCGAGCCGTCGAATGCGTTCGCCACTTTGACCAAGCCGCACTGCCCGTTCAGCTCGCCGGGGCTCTCGATGCACTCGCTGGCCCAGCTGCGCCAAGCCGAACCTTTGTAGCACCGTTGTTGAACACATCGGGAAGGGCAAGTCCGAACACGATGCTCGACAGCGAGCTGAGGCAGAGGAAAAAGGTTGCGCTGACGACTATCATGATGAGCCGCCCGCAGGTCTATGAGCGCAACGCCCACTCCTCGCGGGCTTTCCTGTGCTCGTTGGCCACCGCAGACTCGGCCGTCAACTCATCGGCGATCGACTGGTTAAGCAAAGGGCATACACAGACGTCGCCTCGGCTCTCTTGCGCGCCAAGGAACAAGTTGCTGTCGACGCGGTCGCCTGGTGGGTGGTTATCATCCTTGTCCTTCTTGTCGCCCGCCTTAGGCTTGAACGTTTGCTCGGCCACTTTCTCCTAGCGCGTCGTCATCCAGAGGTGCGCAAGCTCGCCGACATTGACCTGATCGTAGCACACCGCGAAGGCAGGAATACAACACAACAGAGCGCGCTCGCGAGTGATGGGGCCATCCTCCGACATCCTCCAAGCACTCAACCGTCCACCTCGTGTGTTATCCAAAAGGCGACGTAGCATGACGGTGGATGCGAGCGCAGACCGAGGCTGCAGTCCTGGGCCCGCGCACGGGCCGGTCCTGCCAGCTGGCGCAGGAGTGCAGCATGGTGCGCTCGCGGAAGTCCCTCCACCGATCAGCTATCGCCACGCGCCTCGATGGCCACCTGACACGACGACGCGGCCGCCGCGGGAGCCGCGGGCGCCGCGGGCAGCGCGGTGGCGGCAGGCGGCGCGGCCGCGACCGCGGGGGCTGCCGCCACACCGGCCGCGCCGCGCCCACCACCAGCGGGCGCACCCAGCGCAGGCCAGGCCCGGCGGCCGCAGGCGGTGCCGGCAGCTCGAGGGCCCCAGACGCGGCCGCCGCGGGCGCGGCAGCACCAGCCAGAGCCACCACCAGCCCAGGCATCCCGACGCCAGCGCCTCCCAGCGCTGCCGGCGTGGGCAGCAGCCGCCGCAGGCGGGGCCGCTGCGGGCGCAGCCACGGCGGCTGCAGGCGGCGCGGGGTCGGCGAGGAGCTGAGCGCCCGCAGCCAGCCCGCCCACGCTGCCTGCCTGCCGCCAGTGGCATGGACGCTGGCGACGGCGGGCGAGCCAAGCCGAGCACCACGGTCACCTCCGCGATGGCGGCCCACACCTCGATGTCGGTGGGGAGGGACCTGAAGCCATACCCACGCACGCCTGGGGAGCGCTCCCCTTGGACTGACAGAATGATCAGTGCCGAGATGTCGGGGTCGGGGGTCATACTTTCCTCGTGAACGTCGCCATCAGGCGTGATGACCGTGCCAGGACCGCGAGGGAAGACCAACCGCTCGATCGTGCCATACATGAGCACCAGGGACATGGTACCGTACAAGCTGCCAGAATACATGATGCGCCACAACCACTGTGACTGGGTCGCTCGCCCTCGACGGTGATGCCGACGGTCAACGCTGCCAGGGGGGGTAGGCCGTCAAGAACCCCGACGCACGACGGGCTCCGAAAGCTGGCCTCCGACCCCCGCACAGACGCACGGCGGGATGGCGTGGGCAGGTCAGCCGCGGCGCCCACGCGCCACGGCTGGAAGCGGCCGCCCAAGCAGCCACGGAAGCGCCAGCGACTCGTGCGCCGTATCGCAGGAGATGGCTTCATCCGTGGCTTCTGCCAGGCCCCGAGGGCCACAGGCGTCTCCCCCCGTGCCCCTCGGCGCAGGTTCCAAAACGGACATGCCGTTTCTGGTCCTTCGACGCACTGCCGATCCTGCTCCTGCTCCGCCTCATCCCCCTCGGCCCCACCCCGCGTGAATGTGCATGCTCTCATCCGGCCCCTGCCACTCCTTGCCCGCTCGCCTCCCGCGTCGTCGCATGCATTCGCGGCGTTCAACCTTGAACGCCCGCGCTTGGATCGCGGCCGCGTCGACGCGACACGAACTACTGTGAGTGCGTCTGGGCAACCCCCGCTCCACCCTCGGCCGCAGCAGGCTTTGTAAGGAGCAGCTGCACCAGCTAGGTCGAAGGCTGAGCCGTGCAGCTTGTCGAAGATCTTCTCGGCCTTGTTCATCGACGTGGCCTTCTTCAAGACCTGCCCCAATCGTCTTGAAACCACAAGCGGCCTCAGATCGAAACTATCACTGCAGGAAGCAGACGGTCCGGAACGTTTGCTTAGCAGGTCGCGGCGGCGGCCTCGGCAACATGCTATGCTCTGCGAGCTGACAGCGTGTCCCTGCGCTCCGCGGGACTGGAGGCTGGGAAAGGCTCGGTGTGCTGGCGCCTGAGAATGGGAAAAAGTGTTAGCGTGTCGAGCCGAAGCACGATAGGTCAAAACTGGGGGCGCGACACGCTATCTAAAAGTTCTCAACCTCCCACCCACCCCACAGCGCACCCTCGCCCCTTCACGTCACTGCCCCTGCTGCTCTCAAGCGCAGCGCAGGGGTGCGCACAAAGCCCCCGTAGGTGGCCCCGTAGGTGGCCCCAGCCTGCCTCAACAGGCCCCTGGCCCCAAGGGGATCCACCCGTTTCAGGTTTCAGAATCACCCTGGAACCGCTCCGGGTTGATAATTGGAACCTGAAGCGGGTGATGTTCCATCTGGGCCGCTCTCAGGAGCCTGTTGGGCCGCCGTTCACCTGTGATTTTCCATCTGGCCATCCCCATTTGAGATCCAGCTGGAAGGCCCAACCGAACAAACGAGCTCCCCAATAAGAGATTCCATTCGGGAAATTACCACTTTGGGAACTCAGGTACACCCACCCCCTTATCCCCGAGAGCGCCTGCTGCTTTTGGGAGCACCCCGAAACCGTTCCAGGGTGAAAATCCATCCGGGACCCTCCAATGCAAAAAGGCGCTCTCGGGAATGAGCGGGGGGTACCCCAGCTCCGAAAAAATACCACTTTCCAAATGAAATCTCTGATTGGGGACTTTTTCTCGCGGCTGGGCTCCCCAGCCCCAGTCTCGGGAGCGCCCGGATGGATTTTCACCCTGGGCCCGTTCAAGGGTGAAAATCCATTTGGAACCTCCACCAATGCAAAAAAGCGCTCTCGGGGATAAACGGGTTGTACCACAGCCACAACAAAATACATTTTCCAAACGAAATCTCATATTGGGAAACATTTTTCCGCATCTGGACTCTCCACTCTAGTCCCGTGAGCGCCCCAGATGCATTCTCACCGCGGAACCGTTCCTGGGTGAAAATCCAGCTGGGACACCAGCTATGCAAAAAGGCGCTTTCGGGGACAAGGGGGCGTGCACCCGAACACCAAACATTTACCTTCTCCCTGGAAAATCTCTGATTGGAAAGCCTTTTCTCGCGGCTGGGCCCTCCCGCCCAATCTCGGGAGCGCCCGGATGGATTTTCACCGCGGGACCATTCCAGAGTGAAAATCCATCTGGGAACACCCCAGTGCCCCAAAAAACCTCTCAGGGACAAGCGTGGGGGTGTACCCGAGCCCCAAAAATCGTCATTCTGAAATCTTTTACTGGGGAGCCGTTTCTCGCGGCTGGGCCCGCCCCGCCCAATGTCGAGACTTCTGGATTGTTCACAGTGGAACCGTTCCAGGGTGAAAGTCCATCTGAAACCGCCCAATACAACAAACAAACAAAAAGGCTCTCGTGGACAAGCTGAGGGGGGTTCAATAAGGCCTTCTGCAAGGAGCTCAATAAGAAGCTCAATAAGGGCTTCTGTAAGGAGTCCAATAATGCCTTCTGGAAGGAATTCAATAAGACCTTCTGTAAGGAGCACAATAAGGGCTTCTGTAAGGAGCCCACTGAGCGCTTCTGTAAAGAGCCCAATCAGGGCATCTGCAAAGAACCCAATATGGCCTCTTGTTAGGAGCATCTGTAAGAAGCTCATCAAAGCCGTCTAGAAGGAGCCCAAGGAGACAATTTGTAAGGAGCTCAATAAGGCCTTCTGTAACGAGCTCAATGAAGCCTTTTGGAAAGTGATGCATTTTTCACCCAGGAACGGTTCCAGGGTGACTCTGGCACAAGAAACGATGGGCGTCAGGGTTTCAGAATCACCCCCGAACCTTTTACAAGTGATTTTGACGGTTGTTCCGATGGTTGTCCCGATGGTTGCTCCGATGGTTGCTCCGATGGTTGCCCCGATGGTTGTCCTGATGGTTTTCCAATTGTTGATCCAATGAGTCTCCCGATGGTTGCCCCGATGGTTGTCCCAGCATTTGCACCCACGGCTGCCCCGATGAATGTCCCGGCGGTTGCGCCCACGGTTGTCCCGATGGCTGTCCCATGGTTGATCCGACGGCTGTGCCACTGGTTGTCCCTGGGCTTGCTGCGATGGGTGTATCAATGTTTGATTGTCTCGGCGAAAATTATGATGGCTGGCCCCGCGGATGTTTCGATTGTTGTCCGGATTATTCCCCACATGTTTCGTGGGGTTATGGTTTTCTTCCCTGCCGTGTCGCACCCGCGTCTCACACCTGCACACACCTCCCTCTCCCGCAAAGCATGGCAGACGTGACGTACATACATGCACACATACATACATACATACACACACAGACATACATACATACATACATACATACATACATACATACATACATGCATGCATGCATGCATGCATGCATGCATGCATGCATACATACATACATACATACATACATACATACATACATACATACACACATACATACATACATATATACATACATACATAAATACATACATACATACATACATACATACATACATACATACATACATACATACATACATACATACATACATACATACACAGGCACACCGTCACAGACACCTACACACAGACACACAGACACACACAGACACAAACACACACACACACACACACACACACACACACACACACACACACACACACACACACACACACACACACACACACACACACACACACACACACACACACACACGCACACACAGAGACACACATACACTCACCAGAGGGGGTGCGCAAGGGGATGGTCTATCACCGCGGTCCCTATACGCGCCCATTTCGCAGGGCCTAGCAGGCGTGGCACTTTCTCGACACCAGATGGGGGGTGCGCAGGGGGTGGTCTCTCTATACGCGCCCATTTCGCAGGGCCTAGCAGGCGTGGCACTTTCTCGACACCAGAGGGGGTGCGCAGGGTGTGGTCTCTCTATACGCGCCTATTTCGCAGGGCCTAGCAGGCGCGGCACTTTCTCGACACCAAAGGGGGTGCGCAGGGGGTGGTCTCTCTATACGCGCCCATTTCGCAGGGCCTAGCGAGCGTGGCACGATCTCGACACCAGAGGGGGTGCGCAGGGGGTGGTCTCTCTATACGCGCCCATGTCGCAGGGCCTAGCAAGCGTGGCACTTTCTCGACACAACAGGGGGTGCGCAGGGGGTGGTCTCTCTATACGCGCCCATTTCGCAGGGCCTAGCAAGCGCGGTACTTTCTCGACACCAGAGGGGGTGCGTAGGGGGTGGTCTTTCTATACGCGCCCATGTCGCAGGGCCTGGCAGGCGTGGCACTTTCTCGACACCAGAGGGGGTGCGCAGGGGGTGGTCTCTCTATACGCGCCCATTTCGCAGGGCCTAGCAGGCGTGGCACTTCTTCGACACCAGGCGGGGGGGCGCAGGGGGTGGTCTCTCTATACGCGCCCATGTCGTTGGGCCTAGCAGGCGTGGCACTTCTTCGACACCAGACGGGGGTGCGCAGGGTGTGGTCTCTCTATACGCGCCCATGTCGTTGGGCCTGGCAGGCGTGGCACGATCTCGACACCAGAGGGGGTGCGCAGGGGGGGGTCTCTCTCGACGCGCCCATGTCGCAAGGCCTACCAGGCGTGGTACTTTCTTGAAACCAGAGGGGGTGCGCAGGGGGTGGTCTCTCTATACGCGCCCATGTCGCAGGGCCTGGCAGGCGTGGGATTTGTTCGACACCAGACGGGGTGCGCAAGAGGTGGTCTCTCTATAGGCGCCCATGTCGCGGGGCCTAGCAGGAGTGGCACTTTCTCGACACCAAAGGGGGTGCGCAGGGGGTGGTCTCTCTCGACGCGCCAATGTCGCAGGGCCTGGCAACCGTGGCACTTTCTCGACACAAGAGGGGGTGCGCAGGGTGTGGTCTCTCTACACGCGCCCATGTCGCAAGGCCTACCAGGCGTGGCATTTTCTCGACACCAGAGGGGGTGCGCAGGGGGTGGTCTTTCTATACGCTCCCATGTCGCAGGGCCTGGCAGGCGTGGCACTTTCTCGACACCAGAGGGGGTGCGCAGGGGGTGGTCTCTGTATACGCGCCAATGTCGCAAGGCCTAGCAGGCGTGGCACTTTCTCGACACCAGCGGGGGTGCGCACAGGGTGGTCTCTCTATACGCGCCCATGCCGCAGGGCCCAGCAGGCGTGGCACTTTCTCGACACCTGAGGGGGTGTGCAGGGGG